GAAAACAGAAAGAGCTTTTTGTAACATTTTTAAAACAGTAAGCTATTGGTGATTTTCTAAACCTATTGAGATCCATTTCACCATGGCCGTCAGCAAAACAAGTACATTTCCTTACTGTCATTCACACATATATTCACAATTTCTGCATACTTGGCATCTCAAATCTGGACAGGAAGCGCTGAAAGAAGTTCTTGCAGGGATCAGGTAGAGCCAAAGTGCCAAACTCTGATGCGGTTCCTCTCGCTGTTCTGCGTATACGAGTCGCTGCATAAAAAACGTCTTCTGTATGTCACCTGACCGTCCTCAATCTGAAAGCGATGCATCAAGGCCATGCCATCAAACCAGTGGTTATAGCTGAGGGAACATTTACATCGGCAAGTGTCAGCCTGAATGTTCATGTTAGAGTTTGAATTACATATAATAATTGTGATCAAACGGATCACAAATCAAAATTTAGAATAACGGTCTTCTGTGAAAGGTTGTCATTGTTGTTACCTACTACTGCTACCACTGAAAATATCAAATGATTCATTATACCTTAGTTTCCATATGTCATTAGCTTTATAGCCAATTACTAATCGCAAGAAACAGAGATTATAAAATGTATTTAGTTAATTTATTTTACTATTCTTCACATTCTATTGATTCTAGTCAAATCAAATATCACCATATGGTCATACTCACTGCTGATTCCCAAACTCAAACTTTCCTGGACCATTCCGCAGCAGACTCCAATGGATCCAGGTTGGGATGGTGCCTTTAACTGTGGTGGGGATGGGCTCAGGTGTCTCCTGTACCGAACTTATCAAGGGGGTGATGCTTGGCAGCCCATGCACTTTTGTGAAGTATGTTTTCTGAGCAGCAGCTGTAAAAATCCAGATCGACATAATATACAAAATCTGATTGCTTTGCAAGTTGTCAGATCAGAATCTGTTCATGAAAAGAATAATCAGAATAATGTTATACAGATGCACTTATAAATACAAATGTTCTGAAATTGTGATAATGGTAATAAAATATCATTTTTGAGTATTGTCACTTTTGGTAATACTTTACAATAAGGTTACATTAGTTAACATCAGCTAACAATGAACAAAACTTCTACAGCATGTGTTTCAACTTTTCAAATTAAAAGTCATATTTGTTAACATTAGTTAATGCACTGTGAACTAAGAAATAATGAAAAACTATTTCATTACACTATTTTAAGGTGCAGTTCGTACAGTGTAATTATACAATTACATTATAAGTGATATTAATTAACAACATGTACTTACTATAGTATGTTATTATAGTATGGGTTACGGTTAGAATTATGGTTTGGTTTAGTAGCATGTAATTATGCATATTTTACTGTTAATAATATAGTAAGTACATGTGTATATATATATATATATATATATAACAAGGACAATGTATAATAAAGTTTTTTTTTACTATATTTTTTTACTGACATTAATAAAGACTAATAAATTCTTTAAAAATATATATTGCTCATTGTTAGTTCAGTTTAGCTAATCCATTTACTAATGTTAACAAATGGGACCTTAGTGTAAAGTGTTACTGACACTTTTATATAGAGGTCCTCAGAGTCAACAAACTTAACTGCAAGGTTAGCTAACCCCGAGTTATATTAAATTATATAGCCGTAGCAAGTAACAGATCTGCAGACATACTACTCTGCTCAATCAATTATGTCAGGTGAAAGAACAAAGTAAAGGATTAAAGTCAACAAATGACAGCGCTGAAATGGCAGCGAGTCAGCGATATTACAAAGAGAAGCATTACCTCTAGAAAAACAGTCCCTCTCTACTCTACACGCTCACATGTACTGTGATACACTAATGCATAAATAATGAAGCAACTACATAGACATACAGAGACATCTTTTTTCAGAAAAGTCAAAGTTGTGATGTACAAATCAAAAGTAGATCAATTTAGTTATTCATAATTAAGATGCTAAATTTAAACCTAACACTCAAAAGCCATGGGACTTAAAGTATATCCCACCCTCTCTCATATGAATACAGCAACTGCTTTGAAACACAGGAATGTGCTTTAATATACTGCATTGCTTCACACAAACACATATATGAACAATCACAAAGCCTGTGCAGTAACGTACAACAAAAAGTGAAACTTGCAGACGTGCATCAGTGCAGAAGAGCTCTCAGATTCTTACCAATTCTTTGAGGCTTTTTGCTAGACATCCTGTAGAGAGATATGAGGCTGCACCCTTGATCAGATGAAGAAGAGTGTATGAAAAAATTGTAAAGAGCAATCAAAACTATGTGCACGCAGATGGGAGGAGACAAGCTCCTTTTATGCAAGTCGGATCTTTTGCCAACCATGTTACATCACACAGGATTATATCATATGACACAGCAGTGGAGGGGAGGGCAGTGCGGTGCTGGCTGGGATGTAATGTGAAATAACAAGGCTGAAATAAATATCAGCTGAACATACAACAAGAAGTTGTGTAACACAACAAAATGCACATTAAGCAGTTATATTTTATATAATTTTGAGAAAATGGCCTCACATTATCACATGCAAAAGTGCATAATATAATAAATGGATTTATGTATAGACAACTATTTTGTTTTTTTTTAACTTAGGCTATATCTTTTTCTTTAACATACTTTGTCTTGTTCTTTGTTTGTCTGTATTTCAGTTTGAGTTTATTTGCCAATGCATGCTAAATGTCACAGGTCTTGGTTACGCTTGGCAAACTAAATGAGAGAACTAAATTATTATAAGATGCAGAGATTAATCAGTAATAAAAGCTTACCCTTGCTGGTCCTAAATGCATTTTTAAGCACACTTGTTGACATGATTAACTAAAACAGGTAAAACAACATATACAAGAGACCGCAGTAGGTTAAATTCCTATTATGCACACTCGCGAGGAGGAGCACTATGACCCACGTTAGCTACGTACACTTTACCGTAATAAACTTCCTGGTTATGAGTAACGAGTTAACGTCATTCTGTCTCACTATTTTCTTATACCATCAACAGATTCATTGTTTTGTGACTGTAAAATATTTCTATGCACAACATATAAAGTCCATAGTTCATAATGACAATATCTATATCTATAAGATATCTATACACCTTAATAATAAAGTATATTATTATTAGGGTTTTTATGGTTTTGGAAAGGGAGGAAAACGTGTAATTAAACCTTTGTGTTCATATTCTGGGCTCCGCGTGTCTTTTAATATCACTGTCTTAGTACATCAAGCCAGCATTTTAAAATGCTACAAAAACAAGCTCCTGGGGATTTGATTTTGGTTGTCATTTGTTGAAATAAATATAAGAAATACAGTGTGTTCATGTCTGTCCGCTGAACCACAATCTCTGATTCTCCTCCGTGGTCATGGAAAAGTGAGTATTTACAATAACAATTATACTTCGTCAAGACAGTCATAATAAAAGACCAAATTAGGTGTACTGTTTCTCAATAAATTGTACTATGTACAGACAAAAACATGTGGCTAGAATATGAACGCAACGCGCAAAGTTTCACGTTAGTCGTTTTCCTCCCATAGAATGATGATGAATGAATCCCAATGATTCAGTGAGTCATTTGCTTAATTCTTGAATGACTGAATGATTCAAGACATTCGTCGACACCTACTGGTGGTTTAGTTTCATAGGCTAAGTAAAAGTATCATTGTATCAAGTAAAAGTATAATTTTTTTACCAACATTTCACATTAATCTCATAACATTATTTATGCTGTAATTTTGCAATGTAAATGCATTCATGTTACCTCTGAGCTTCATTAAACAGTTACGCATCTAAATGCCACCACAGATGCAGCTTCTGCATGTTTTTTTTTTTTTTTTTTGATACTCATTTCATTTGATTGGTAACAGTCCTATAGTTTCTTATTATTCTAACTTAATTTAATGATAAAATTTAAGAATTTGATATTAAAGATGATGACACACATTTAATAAGGATATGGAAAATTGCTCTGTATAAATGCAAAATAATAATAATAATAATAATAATAAAAGCCCTGGAAATAATTTTAAAGGGGGCAAATGTCACAAATATGCTTAAGTAAGAGCAAGCTGATAGAACACTCATGAGACTTTTGCATTAGAATAAATTATATTTACACCACACACACACCCAATATCCTTTTTTCTTTCTGGACAAGCAAATTGCTGGCAATGCTAATTCATACACTCTATCATAGATTTAAGAGCTCTTAGTGCTTATCTGTCATTTGTTTGTTAGTCTTTGTGGTTTCTGTAGGTCTGTGACTGTTGTCATTTCCTTTGTAACATTTAAATATCATGGCTCTGGAAGAACTATACTTCACTCTTATTCTACAGTTGCTAATCAGGTGAATAATTGTAATTTGACTTCTTTTCTGCTATTTTTTATAAGAAAAATGTTATAGGCACCATGCTATGTTTTGATCATGGCATAACTTACATCATTATAAATGTTTATATATAGTAATTAAAATTACACCATAACCAGTGTTTCACAGGGTTATACAGGTGCATCTCAATAAATTAGAATGTCGTGGAAAAGTTCATTTATTTCAGTAATTCAACTCAAATTGTGAAACTCGTGTATTAAATAAATTCAATGCACACAGACTGAAGTAGTTTAAGTCTTTGGTTTTTGGTTTTTATCCAAGCATGTTAACAGAAAGTTGAGTGGAAGGAAAAAGTGTGGAAGAAAAAGATGCACAACCAACCGAGAGAACTGCAGCCTTATGAGGATTGTCAAGCAAAATCGATTCAGAACTTTCCCACGACATTCTAATTTATTGAGATGCACCTGTATATGGTTCCTTGTTAAATGTGTTCATATAACTAGAGAATTTGACTACTAATTGCAGTAGTCAAAATAAATAGGTAAATGTGCCCACAACAGTCTGATATAATTATTTACCTTTTCAAAAGACTTGGAAAAGTACCTGAAATGGCGATACATCTTTTAAGTCAGTCAGTTTAATTCTGGCCATATAATCATATTTGCCAGAGCATGGCAACTGCCTTGCAGAGACCAACATCATGGTAATTGAAATAGCAGAGACCAAAGAACGTGGTTGTGGAGAGCAACAAGACGCCAGCTTTAGCCAGCTTGACCTTAACATCACCATAGACATAGTCTGTTAGGACTTGACCAATCCCCCTACAGAAGGACAAAAACACAGAAATGAAAGAACGAACTAAATAGAATACAGTGTTTGTAGGACATTTACTTAATTTAAATACTGCATAACTTCACTGATGACTGAGGTGCCTCAGTAATATCCAACTTCAATAAAACAACCGATACAGCAAGCATAAAGCAAGGCTCTTCAGACACACAGGAGTGAGAGATACACACGCTCTTACCAGTGTCCATGCAGTGTGAGAGCTGCAGCAATAGAGTAATCCACTAGTGGACCAGGACACAGGTATGCTGCTGGAGTATACTTAACAGAACTATACTCAACACCCGTTCACCCGTCCAGTGCATGGAGGCCGCCCTTGAACTTGAGACAGCTGCAAAAACAAACAGAAATTTAAATTTTGCTATCGTCCTTTGTAGTAAAAGAGTTTAAGAAACAGTATCTTTTTACTACAGTATAATAATTAGTATAATAATTAGCTTTCTAGTATTTTTGCACAAAAGGAAATTTGATTGTCATTTTTATAATACTAATATTGACTACTAGTGTTGCCTGCAAACATACTGAATTTTTGATAATTCAAATAGTAACACTGAGCATTAATGTCAATGCCTTCACTTCAATCTTAATTTTATAAAATATTAAAAGAGAATTTGGTCCAATGTAAATTTATTAAAATCATGTAAAATAATTTTTTACTGAATGTGCAATGTTCAAACAACAGTTCATCGTTCATTGTTCACAATATTTGTGTTCATTGTAGAATTACTGTTGTAGCATTACAAATGGAGAAGTGAATAATCATGGAAAAACTATAAATACATTTTTAACAATGATTAGATATCGCTCACTGGAGTGTGATGAAGCTGCATGGATCCTCCCTGCTGTCAATCGGAAAGGCTCAACATCTCGATTCTTCTGATAGGCAACCAACCCACGAGACAGGTGTGTGTTGCAGAGAAGCACAGCTGTAGATGGTATAAAATATTGCATAAAAAACATTACATAAATCTGTGTTAACATGTCTGTGCCATATTCATTCGGTCATCCATGATGACTTACGTCTTATTCCTCTTTGGCAGAAAGTGCTTAAACGAATCAAGCTCGCCATTACTGTTAAACTACAAGGTCAGATCAGATTCATATGTTTGTGATAGGTTTCTGTAACAGTGTGTCTCATTTAGAAGGCTGTGCCCTCCGGAGGTCGCATTTGAAGGCAGCGTCTGGACCAATCAAACACACAATATATATTTTGTAAGCTATATTTAACAAATACTCTGTAACACCCCTCAGTTAACAAGCCATATGAGGACCTATGGACCCTTCCCCGCGGATCTAAATATTTATAATTAATTATAACTAGTTATGATTAATTATTCATATTTCCCCATGAGCTGATTCGCTACAAGTATCTTCTCTTCTGTTTCCATATATCTTTCTTTCAATCCCCACTTTCTGTTGAATGCTAAATAAGTGTTTCCCTTTTGACTCTTTATTCCATACGTCTTGCCACATACTTCCAACTGCTGTTTTAATAATACCTTTTACATCTGTTTTACTTAAAGGAATTTCTGTGTCAATCTCTTCTTTTCTCAATGCTGACTTGGCCAGCTTATCCACCTCCTCATTTCCTTCTACACCTACATGGGCAGGTATCCATAAAAACTCTACTCTTACTCCTGTTTGGTTTATTCTATATAAATTCTGTAAAATTTCATAGGACACTGTACAAATTGTGAATAAAAACAGAATG